GACCCGCTTTCAGCCATATGCGAGCGTACTCGGGCCAGTCACTAGGTCGTGCTTCCATTGTCGACCCTCCACAGCCTGCGGTCAACAAGTGACTTGCTGCACCGAGACCCAAAAAGTTGCTTCCTACCCCTGTGGTACCCACCTTTCAGGTGCCACTGACAAACCCCCTCCCCCCTCTCCTATCCCGTCTTCTTTTTCTTCTTCTTCCACCTCACACCTCATCCCTCTGATTGAGCGTGAGGTGTCCCCTCCCCCCTCTTCCCGGCCCCCTCCGTCGGCTCCATACCCCCCTACCCCTCCAGCAGACATCCCCATACCCCACCAACCAATGGAGGAGGACAGCTCAAACACCCCTTCCCGGACTGACCCTTGGAAGGGCGGAGTCCGTCACTCCTCCAAATCCCCCACTAGACCGCCGTCCAATCCAGGACGGCAACCTAGAAAACACTCTGCCTCCCCCGCAAGGAGGAGTCAGAGTATTACTCCGAGGCCGGGGCCTTTGTGCTTCAGAATCAAACATAAAAAAGACATAATTGCAGTCCTGCAGTGGAATGCCGGCGGAATCCGACCTTCCATTGCAGAATTGCAACACCTACAGGCCACACTGTGCTCACTTGTACCTGTATACAAGAAAAAAAAATTCACCCCGGCTTCAACCATAGACTTAAGATGATTTACTGCATATCATCACATTCACACGGAGAACCAGATTGCTTCCGGAGGAACCACCATCTACACCGACAACAACACACTCCACAGATAAGTACATCTTAGAACGACCCTCCAGGCTATTGCCGTACGGTCACCCTGCTCAGACCAATCACGATCTGCTCAGTCCATATCCCACCCAATTACCTCCTCAAAATAATCCAACTAAATAACTTTAAGGTCCAGCTTCCAAAACCCTCTATTTTGCTTGGTGACTTTAACGTCCAGGGACAAACCCACAGACCAAAAAAGAAAACTAATAGAAGATTTTTTAAATTCCAAAATAACTTCTGCCTCTTAAATGATAGGCCCCAACTTACAGAAACAGATCCACTTTTGGCACTTCATCCCTTGACCTCACCTTTTTTTACCCCTGAACAAGTCACAGATTTTGAGTGGTCTGTGCTGGAGGACCATTTCCCAATTCTTCTAAAAAACAAAAGCCTCCAAAACGACCCGATCCCAGAACGCTTCAACTTCAAAAGAGAACACTGGGGCGGGTTCGCCTCTAAAAGTTCCCAGATTCTGAATCCCACTTTCGACCTCAACTTT